ATTCCAGTCTGCTCTGGTCTGACAGAACGTGGTTAAAAAACTGCAGAGGAAAGTGTGCAATGACGTGAACTACCCAGCAGACTTTCACTGCTCAGCTTTGCACCCCTCAAAGCAGTATTCTTTAGCTTCCCTGCCTTCAGTGTTCTCACTGCGTTCCTCTGTGCTCAGAATAGTTGCACAAAATGGTGGTAGTCAGATGAACAGATACTGAAACTGAGTCACCGAAAATTTAGCCATGAAGCACTAAGGAGTTAAAAGGCAACAACACGCACACACAAATTCGTACCAGCATGATTACCAGCCCTACAGTAAATGGACAAAGTACAAGACCTCAGACTTGACACTGAATTTTATTTTACATGAACATCACTTTCACAGAGAATCTAACTGAAGACTCTGAAGCAAACATTGGCAACGTGCAATTTGGATGCAGTGACTCATGCTAGACTTATAAATACGTGGGGACAGAACAAATATGAACTGGAAACAAATCTTCCACAAGGATTTTTATTTTATTCTATTAAAAACACAGCACAGCATCTAACCACCAAAACTCATCAACTGCTGATAAATATACGCTGGGGGAAAACATCCCTTAGGATGCTCTGTGCCTTACTACCACCAAGAGCAAACAAAAGTTCAACTCCAGGCAGCAGACATGGAAAAGAACTTTTCCAATGTCACAAGGAACTCGTACAAGTAGGAACACAACCAGCTTCCTATTAACAGACATCTACATACAGCAGCACTCAGTGGTCTCAATAAGAAGGCATTTGTTGCTTCTGAGACATAATACAACTCTACAGTCAAGCTGCAAATACAACTATGAACAGATTCCCCTCTTACAGTAATTGGAGGGCAGAGGCTAATACAGAACAGCACATCATACCTTCAGGGCAACAATACCTGCTGCTACAGTTGGCCCTCTTGGGCCTTTTAGAATGAATGTGCTGACAGCTTTCACTGTGATCTCTAAGAGATGCTTGAACCAGTGAATTTCGTACAGTCTGGACAAAGGCTAGAGCTGAGGCAGCAGCAGCACTGCCAGTAAGCAGTTGAACTGTGATACCTTTATGTTCCATCCCTTGAAATAAAACAGCTGTACAATACACCCAGTACTCCAGACTAATCAGTACCTACTAGGTAAGAAATGAGCTGCATACCTTTGGGATTATACAGTTTGCTTTAGGCTTCTGATTGATCCTGCAGTGATTTCCTGTGCCTTAACACCAGTGGCAAAAGCACAAATTGAAGACGAATGGCATGCTCAAACATTTCCCTTCACCAAGAACAGAATACATCCCTGTTTTCCATGGCAAAATACATCTCAGCTTTTAGACTTCAAATCCCCCAGACTCTGCAAAGCTCACTCGCTACCACATTCTACCACTCTGAAAGAAACAATGATCAAATTGATGTTTCTTCAGAGTAGAGATTTATTTTACTGTAGTGCCTACAGCCAGTGGCACTGGAATAAAATATTCAGCCTGAAAGCCTGAAAAGATGCTGTGGATGCAAGTGTGACTTGAACACTATTGTGCCCCCTGAAGCCTGGAGGTGACAGGTAAGTTATTTTCTCCCAGAAGTATCAAACAGAGTCCATTAATTCCTCCAACCAATCACCTGCACTTACAAAGAGAAATAAAAATGTAACTGAAAAAGCGAAGTTCTGCGATGCTGACACTTCAGGTACATACGTAAGGCTCAAATACCCAAAATTCACTGATGCATTTCTGCCTCTTTAATGTGTTCATTTTATTTTAAAACAGAATGTCTCTGCCTGCTGGATCATTGACTTCTCCTTTTCATTCTTCCTCTCATCTCTACTCACTAGAAACTTTTCAAACAATTCTGAATCAGTACTATCAAGTCCTGCCCCAAAGTTCCTAGAAACAAGAAAGACAATGAAGAGACCATATAAACATATTAACAAAAATGTCTACAGGAGACCAATCACCACGTCTTTCCTGTTTATCTACTACATTTCTGAAGTGTTTTCTAACCTTTCTGCATTCATGATCACAAGAGATAAGCATGAAGGCTTCAGAAGAGTCCCAAGAGTCTACATCTGCATAACTGCTCACACTTCTGCTTCCCTGTCAAGGGCACACACATTACTGGTCAAGAGAAGCATTAATCCGTGACGTATGACCTCTTGCCTTAATTATTACCCAGGTACACATGTACTAAAGCTTAACTTAAGACACTTTCCAAAGGGACATTTGGTCTTAATCTGCCACTTCTCTGCTGTTCTGTTCCAGTGATTAATGATCTTCATTTTATAAAGACTGTCTTTGATTCCCTATTTGAATTGCCTTGAGATCTGTCCTGTGTTTGTATCTCATACGTATGACACCAGTTTTTAATGCTGTTTCCTGGAAAGAGTTGATCACAAGCTCCAACCAAGTCACACACCCCTGCCCCCACTATTTTTGACACTCAAAATACATTGGGTTCTAGTGATTATCTTTTCTCTAGTCTTCCATCATCCACATAATTCCTTCCAGATCCTTTCCAGTTTCTCCTCGCCTTTCTGAAGGTGTGCATCAAAACTAGAGCACAGAAGTCTAAACTGGGTCTCACCAATGATATGGTAAAATGAACTCCCTATTCATAAACTCCAGCACTATGAGCAGTTTGTGTTCAGTTGCTCATACAAGACATCTGGTAAAGCTGCTTAAGCAGCACACTCCAGGATGCAACTCCCACAGATCTGACCTGGATGCCTCATTCCTAAGGTCTGGATCTAGTGCATGTGATACCCCAAATCAAGTGTGCAGCTGAAAAACTAATGCAACATCCTCCCTCTAGCTGTGTTTGATACTATTTAGGGGCTGAGTTGAGAGGGAAAGCTCTGCTTTTGTCTCACGTTTGCAGGCAACTGAATATAAATTTTGATCAAGTATTTCAGTACTTAGACCTGCTGCTGCATTAACAGCCCAGACACTTTTTCAGCGCCTAACATCAGAAAGGCCCAGACTACTCCCCTTTCAACAGGTTGTATCAGTAGCTGCAGGCAAAATCAAATCCAAGCACTTCTTGCCTGTGAAGTATCCTAGGAGATGGCATCTGGGCTCTCCAGCCCACCAACAGTACAGCAAGAAGCTCAGATGGCAACTGTTTCCTCACACATATAAGCATGACTGACTCATGGAAAGTTGTACGAAACATGAAATCCTACAGCACAGTAGGGTGAGGCAAAACCATGCTCTGAAAGGACGTGTCTCAAATCGCCCTCTGTTAGATGTACACTGGCCACACACACTTCACAGAATGGTCACAAAAGCTTGTTGTGCTTTTGGATAATTAAGCTGGGAGTGTGTTTTGCTGTTAATATGCTCCTCAGCCCTTAGATATATTCTTCTGAGGAACAAAGTTACTTGCGTATTGACACCTGCGGTGACAAACGTGCATCTCAACTATTTAAATAAAAAGTCTGCCCCAAAGAGGAAGCTGGAACTCACCCATGCAATTAGGTTAGGTTAACGCTGGCGATGAGTGAATAGATATTATCCACTATCACATTTTGTAATCCTCTGCTAAGCGGGATGCTTCATTCACTCTGGGAGCCAACAAGACAGCTACTAATTCACTGTCAGAATTGAACAAAGTCATAAGCAATCCCCGAAGCTTTGAGACAAGTTTATTCTAGAGCCTGGTAATGGTCCAGAGTGATCTATAAATTCTACATTCAGGTTGTAGGTTTCTTTAAACAAATATTTACTTATCTGTAGAAACCTCAGGAAAAAAGACAACACCTCTCCTTTCAGAAGTAAACTTTATAGTGGTTCTTTTCATTACCAATAATCCTTTCCTCTCTTTCTCTAATCCTTAACAATTATTTTAATAAACAACTTACACTCAGCATATTTTGTTCAATCTTTTGCTGTATATATGTGTCACAACAAGATATTGATCTGGATATCGAATATTAGCAATGAAATATTTAAATTAAAAAAAAAAAAGCATGGATATATCAAAGAAAACTACCTGACTCCAGAAAATGAGCTCTCATCCTTCCCTTAAACTTGGTGGGAATTTGTGAGCACACAGCAGTTTCAAACAAGACACCTAGGAAGCTTCCATCAAAAGTGCTTCACCCAGAGGGCAGTGAGACACTGGCACAGGCTGCCCAGAGAAGCTGTGGATGCCCTATCCCTGAAGGCTTTCAAGGCCAGACTGGATAAGACATGGGCAGCGTGACCTAATGGATGGCAAGCCTGCCGTTGGCAGGGCATCGGCACCAGATGAGCTTTAACATCCTTTCCAACCCAAGCCATGCTATGATTCCACAATGCCTAGCTTCAAACACAGTTGAAAGTCTTGTCTTGAATTTTCCAAAGCCTGTTATCCCTGGCAAAGCCATGACTTTCCCAGATGAAATACTAAGTGCATCACTTTTACACGCATTCAGATTTATGTATGTATGTAAAGAATTTCTAAGAGTAGTAACCAGATAGTGATTTACCTACAGTTCTCCTTTACAAAAGAGAAATATTGTGTAAGGAGTATCAACTTCTGATTTCTATTTGTTTTTATCACATTTAAGCAAAACAAAAACTGAACACTACAAAAACACAAAAGCGATTAACGTATGTGTGCTTGATTCAAGTTGCATTTACAAATAGTGAGGCAAAAAGGCTTTGGCTACACAAATTTTATCTTTTTTTTCCTGTAAAAATGCTAAATACACATTACAGTTTCATAAACAAGTGATTTAAAGCTCATAGTGCTTATAAATGCCAAGCTGAAGCCATTTCGTAAATGTAACCTTCAAAACAACCAAATACCACTTTTGGAGGCTGATGCTTAAGAATAACACCATTGAAAACTTACATATGGCAAATTAAAAAAATCAAACTTCTGAAGCTGGAGTCTCAAATAGGAATTTTGCCTCAGGAAACAAGCAAGATGAGGTCTCACTTTGCACGCTGGCTGCTACAGGAACACAAAATTACAAAAGGAAGCCACTTAGTAAGGCTGCAGTAGGTCTGACTTACCACAAGAGCAACATGTGAAGCAGTTGGTATGATAGAGGTTACCCATTGCTTGGCAAGCCTGGCTCGCTCCATACACACCTTTTCCACATTTTATACAAATACCTACAAAGAAAAAACAGAATGAATGTTAGAATTCTTTTCAGATTCTAAAATTAGCTCTGGGCCATTGAATCATAGTACTCACAGTACCTCCAAATCAATGTGCTCCTCCACATCATTAGACTCAAATATGCAAGTCAGCAGCAGACAGTTTATACGAAATAAATACGTTGTAATTAACCCAAAATAAAAGGGTTGGAGCAGGCCTCTGCTGGCAATTCAACATATGGAGACTGAGGCTAGCTAAAGACAGAAATTTTGCTCAAGAAACAATCTAGTATGATCTTGACCATTTTACTTTCAAGAATCACGAATGATAACAATCACGTCTAAAATGAAGTGTTTTCTCTTTGCCTCTCTCCAGGAGCACAAATAATACATCAGCAATGCTGGTCCAGGTGGAAGCAAGCACAGGGAAACAGGCCTTATTAGTTGCATTTAATAACTGTTTAACTGTCCACAATTAGTAATATGCAACCTAAAACATAACCTGGGAGCTTATGAAACAGAAGAGCAAAGCTTCCACCTTTCTTATGGTCTAAGGGCAAAAACACTATGCTAGCAGTTTTTCAGTGGGGGCAGAAATTCACTTTCAGTGCCTAAAAAGCCTGCTCTTGGTGAAGCTGGGGATGTTTCTCATATATAGCCTGTACAAGATGAAAGTACAAAGAAGCACAGTGCCAGCAAACTCAGCTGTCAGTCTCAGCACAGGCTCACTATGAAGCGGAAATGAAACGCTCACAAATCTGTATCCTTCTTCCACATACTCCAGAGGACTGATTAAGTTCATCTGAGATGATCACTGGTCTCTGACTGGAGCTCTAAAGTGCATCTCAAAACCTTGAGTTTGGAAACACTACAGGAGAAAATAGAAATTGAGTTTTCTACCTTGCACAGCTTTATAAGGAAGTTGTGATCTATGGGCTGTTCGAGGCCCTATTTCTACAAACGCACGTACAAGCTCAGCATTACTAGCATCAACAAAACTGCTAATGTACTTGAAAGCCTAGGAACTCAAGAACTACAAAACCGAACTTTAATCACCCAGAATTCTTCCCTGTTATGCTATGAGCATTTTAATTTGTACACATATGCACACACAAAAATATAAATGCAAGCTGCCCAGAGAAAATTAGTACATTATGAATTAGTAGAAACTTACACAGCAGGAAAAAAAAAAGGCTAACAAATCATTTGGTGTCTTAGTTCCCCTTTCACAGGTTTTATACACTTCCAGCATATGAACTGGAAAGGAAAAAAAAAATGCCACCCATCTCTGGCAAATAGCAGCAAGGAGATGAGCAAAGCTGGCAGAAGAGCAGGACCCATCAATACAGCTGAGATGTACAGATCTCTCAGTAAAGAAACAATCAAACAACACAACAACCCAGAAATATTTCTGTCCTTTAAGCTAGTCAAGACTTAAACACCACTTCTGAAACTGAACTGTGCATCTATATGGACTGTGTAGTATGAACTGTTTAAAAAGAGATACTTGGAAAAAAAAAGCAACTTCCTATGCTACTAATCCAAGTACTAAAACGGGAAGACCTTCCATAAGTCATGGGTTTCTTGGTATTTCTACATTTAACTACCTCTTTTCAAATCATGAAAAGAGATCAGCTTTTCATTCATCTTGTTCAACAATGTTGTAATTTTGCACCATGAGAATATCTGTCAATTAAGAGAAATTATAAACTTAGAGAAACCAGCCAATCTATTAACAGAAGTTTAAAAAAAATCTTGAACTTGAGTTTTGTGTTTCAATGAAGTAGGAACTATGGTATCTCATATTATTAAAGCTAATGTCCTTAGGTAAACCTATAATACTGAACCAGATGCCACCTATATCCATCAGTTCACTATACTGCTGGTCCTTCCTTAGACAAGCTCAGTTCAGATACAGAAAAATGGAAACTTCAGTGTATCTGTTGCCTTATCCAAGGATGTTACATCTATTTATTTATGCACAGACAAAGGTTATGAAAAAAGCCTGCTATTAGCCACAAGTTAATGGTTAATTGCTGATAAAAGACCACTATTGATTATTGAGGACACTGATCAGAAAACAGGTCTGTCAGCCAGTAGCTGCAGGAGGAGCTAGCAGCAACAGCACTACAACCAACAGCAGCCACAGCAACTCCCAAACCTGCCTGTTTCACCACAGGCTACAAACCCTGAAAGAACTGCTGTCCTTCCTGGCATTTGGAGCAGAGGGGCTGCACACACAGCAAAGAAAGCAACTGTTTCAGAAATCAGAAATCTTCTAACTTCAGCATAAGGTTGTTGTACCGTATTTCAAGTTTAACTCCAGGTAGAGGAGCCAGAACAGAGCCCTATGAGAGCTCCCCAGCTGCACTCTTCTTTCCCATCTCTTCATGCCAATTGTGTACCTGAGGTAGATGGCTAACACTAGCCTGGTTGTGAGGTCACACAGCTTTTTCTATTTATGCCTTCTTGTTTATCCAAAGCATAACAGAAATCCAGCCTGTAGTTCTGAAGTTACTGTAAATGAGCTCTCATATTCTCTACTACAGCCATGAACTGCTCTGATAAATGAAAGTATTACCTAATTTATTTGCCACTGCTCCAGTGAACCATCAGAAGCAAAAGGATTTACTGTGCGTGTTAATATTGGTCTCTGCAGCAAGTGATTCGTTAAGAGCAGCTGCCACTTTTTTAACTTATATTCTCTGAAAGAACAGTCATTAGCTCTAGGAATAAATGACCACAGAGACCATCAGCATGCTAAAAAGGCATATGCATAATTCTAAAAGTGTATTTTGGAAAGTATATATGCAGCTGTGGTGTGAGCATAGTGTGAGCTCATAACTGCCTTGGAAAAGCACTGATCACATGGTTGTTCCACCATGTGTTCCACCAGTCACAGCCCAGACTGCACACTGTAAGCTTGTGTAAGCCCTGACATAACAGCTACATCACTTTTTCTTTTTCCAGATTTAATTTCAAAACTTGTTAAACTGCCTATGAAGAATGCACTGTTACAGAGCAAGCAGATCTCATTTCTGACTCCTCACTTTACCTGACTTCAGGTCAACTGTTTCAGCTCTCATTCAATTCCTTATCCCACCCAACACCTCTACACTAAGCTTCCAACTGTACCTCCAGTTCTTCAACACATTAATAACTGCATTTTCACCCAGGTCCAAAGCTCTCCTACAGAGCTGCTCTCCCTTTTCAGCTAGGAAAAGATGTTACCAGATGTTGTACGTAGGCTCAAAGTCTGCATGAAGTCTCCCTCAGTAGCAGCACGATTCTGCATCCTTCCTTAGCTGAGGTAAAACATTGCCTGCATCTTTACACAGCATTTAATAGAACTGGGGGGAGAAACCACTGAACAAATGTGCCCTGTGGACCTCAGCTGAAGTCCATCATTAAAAGCAATGCTGGAAAGAGAATGAGCCCCCTGAGAGGCTGCCAGAGTTAGCTGCAGCATGCTGCCAGCGCTCCCCACACTTTAACCAGCCCACTTCATTGAGCGTGACAGCATCAGTCAGAATGGCATCTCCAGGTGCAGCAGGGCAAGCTCCAGCACTGCACAGCAACAGAGCTATCAGAAAAGCAATGCTCCTCAGCTAAGTGTATTAGTGAAATCCTGGTACAAGCATCACAAAAAAATAGAAAAACTGTTATCAGCCTAGATATGTATTTTCTGTCATAGTCTGTCATTGGTTTAGACCCAAGAAATCAAAGCACACGATGTAACAAAGCTACCAGCAGCTACCTAGAGAAGACACTAAAGCTATGCAGTGAAACCTGCCATAAGACTCCTGCAGTAGTCTACATGTTAGAGTAAGGTCAGTTTGGGTCCTGTACATCCAGTTCTGGGATGATCTCTCTCCTGACAAGCCTGTGTCTTTTTGACCGTGCAAGTACAAGCAGCAGACTGGTACTTCATCCAGATTTCACCAGTTACCCAGAATTAGGAAAAAGACGGTAGTCAAAAATTAAATGCAGTATGTATAACAGCAGATGTACGACCTTTTGGCCAGGCCTTGTCCTCAGGCACATGTGGAAATCAGCCTGCACCTAATTCTATCCTCACTTATCCTGAATTCAATGTTTTAGCACGAATGCAAGAAAAATGGTACCACATGGCCTCAACTTCAGCAAGAAGCAGCTGTATGAGTCAGAATGAGAATCTGTCTATTGCACTTCTTGACAGCATGCCACAGCTCAGGGATGAGCTGCAGCTTTACTGTCTTACAGTCAGACTGTATCTCCTGGATAACTGCTACATGCTGCCTACAGTAGGAAACAACCATGCCCTGTCGTCAAGAGTTATGGCAAAGCTAAAATTAACAACTAACACATGGCACAGATGAATCCCTCCCTGCCTCAGCAGTTCTGTGCACACTGCAGTGCAGGGAAGAGAGGGTGAGTGAATTTTACCCTCGGGTTACTGCAAAATTTCATTTTCTCTTCTCTGGCAGAGAAAGACCATCTCCTGAAACTTCAGTAACAAGCTTTCCACACCCCTTTGGCATACTCAAGGTGCAGGGTATGAAAACCTACAGGCATGAAGCAAGAATTATAAAAGAGGAAGAAACTTTAGCTCAGAGAAAGTAAAGTGCAGCACAGGGGGCTAACTGTGAAAGCATGAGGACTGCAGACGGGCTATGCTAGACCTCCATAGACAGCCCGTACCACTGGAGGCACTCCTCCAGTGAAAGGCCTGCAGCCTCTTGCAGCTAAGCAAGTTTTAAACAGGGTGTTGCTACCACCTTTAAAAAATATTCTGCTAGGAAGCTGCGTAAATAGGGAAGCAGCAAAGCTGCTTCAGGCACAGCCAATCAGGCTGTGCTGCAACTGTACCAGCCTGAGCTGACAGCCGCTACTGTACTGACATCCTGGTCTGCAGCAGCTCCGGATGCTGTGACTTCAGGAGAGAAAAATGCTCCCCTTCTTCCAACAAACACAGGAGGAGCGATGTTCTGATGTACACGTCATCCCCTAGCAAGGCACCTACAAAGGACAAAGGA